AATAAAGTTCTGATCGCAAAGACATTGGTTGCTCTGAACCGAGACATCGAAAGGGCTAAGTCTCTGCTGATTACAGTGATTGGCAGATATAAGACATCAACCAAATGGGATGACATCGAGGTATAGCTCACCTTAACTACCATTCATTGCATTTCTTTTTAAATTATTGTTTCCGTTTGTGTTCCCAAAGGCTGTCAAAGAGGCTAAAGAAGTGTTGAACAAACTGGGAGTCAAAGTGACGGAAATTAATGTTCAAAAGTCTTAATGAGATTGATTTAAAAAACTTATTTCCAAAGTTTTCCACAATATATTCAAAGTTTGAATTTTAAACAAAGTTCACAAAACTTTTATTTTCTATACTGGTATTGAAAATTGAGATCACTTTCAATTATCGTTTACTGTTATTGTATATTAAATTTCAAATATTTATCATGAAAATGATGTTATTTATACTGAGAAAAATACAAAATTAATGACACTTTTGTATAAAATTGCCAAAAGAGACAATAAAAATATATTTAATTAAGTTTAAGACAAATTGCATTCAATTGTCTCATTAAAGTCAATGAACTTTGAGTTCTGGCAACAATTCAACAAAATTCTCAGGTAACATTTCGTATGAAAAGGTACTAAATTTCCATTACAATACAACAGAAGATTAGACCCTTTTGTAAATGAATCTATTATTCTGTATATTGAATGAAATAAAAATCGTTATTTATGTGATTACAGTGAATAGGACTTCCTTTTCCTACTGTTGATGACTACATGTGTAAGTGTTTTACTAATCATTTACTTTTAATTTCATTTAATTCACTACTAATTGCTATTAATTACCGCAAATAAACTCAAATATTAGTTGATATTAACGTATAGTTTATTATTTTACAGTAAATTAAGTGTCAATCAAATCAAACAACGAGCGAAATGTCGGACAATGAAGGGTAAGACATGAGACCATTGATGGCATAACACGTGTTTGTATTGACACCACCTCTGGATGTGTTTGCAGAGAGACTTCGGCGCCCATTACAGCCGTGGCGCCCATTCTGGACGTGAATATGGCTCTACAAGAAGTCTTGAAGACGTCA